AAAGGTGACGTCGATTTAACGTTAATTTGACGTCGAAGAGATTGACAGCTAGTTAAATCGAATTGATCGACGTCTTCGACGTCGAATCACTGTGGATCGACGAACTTTTTGACTGATTATACCTGACTCGACGTTGATAATTATCGACATTGATTCGACGTTGGGTGAGCTATACATTTCTCACTGGAAATCTGAACACTGTTCCTTGAAATGTAAATACATTATAATTTAATTATTTTAAACAAGAGCGATTTAAATTCTAGTATTTTCCTATATAATTGTATGAGAATTTATGTAGCACTATCTAAAACTTAAAAAAATATGTCAAATAATTATACATAGAAAACGCTAAGGTTAAAAAGAATAAATTTAAACGACAGAGAAAAATTTTAAGCATTATTTTTTTTTATAATTACTTAAAGCAAGAACAATCCTAATTTTTTTCGCTACAATAGAATAAGAATTTTTGTAGCGCTATTAATAATTCTGAAATGAAATAATATTACATGGAAACTGATAAAATCAAAAGAATAAAGTTTTAAGGAATAAAGAAACATTTTAAACAATATTTCATCTTACATATTTCAAATCAAGGAGAAAGCAATTATTCACATGCGTTTTCCCACTCGCGCGTATCTCGAAGGAAAAATTAATATCTTTCTCTGCTGAATATTGTCAATGTTGCGCACGTTTCTGTTTTCGAAATCGACGAGTTTTCTCTCGAGAGATATTTATACTACATACAAACTATTTGTCTCGAAAATAGCTTGTGTTAGATTTCAAAAACTATATAGTAACTTCAAGTAAAATAAAGGTGAGGAGAGATCAATTTGTATACGTCTCTCTCACATTAAGTGTGATTCCATTAATGTAATTCTCATCATGATTCCCAGAACGATAACTAAATTACCCGGATCCGAGTAAGCTTTTATTAATTGCAAAATAATCGAACGCATCCAGGAAATATGGAAGTGCGGAAGATTATGGATTAAATTCGCAGAACTTGGCGATGCGCTCCAACTCGGTGCTGAGTTCAACTTCATCCGTCTCTGCAACAAATTGCTTCTCTGCATTTATTTGGCACTACTATACATCATTATTTCACTGTACACAAAGGTTCAAGAGAAATGCAAAAATAATGAGAACGATGTAAAGGTCGTATACCTGGGGTGAGCGGTGACTGCTTTCAGCGTCGTTTCACTCGTTTCCTGGGTGGTCGATATTCTGAGTCGCTAAAGCTTGTAAAGTTTCTAACATCAGATGTGGGTGGGAGTTTGCCAATGACTTGTAACCCTCGGTATTAAGCACATCCGTCAGATGTCTGCAAAAGCACGGATTAGAGATCGCAAGTTCCATCGCGTTCACCCGCGCAGCCAAAAATATAATTTTGATCGTTGGAAGAATAAAATTATCTTTTAGTCGATGAGCTGGTGTACGTTGCGCAAGCACACTTCTCTTTATGTGATGCGACGGCAGACCGTGCAGCATGCTAACAGTATGTGTAAAGGATGCGCTAGCAACGTCTCTGCTTTGTGTGCGTTGCCAGCGCATTTGCTCCACATGCTGTTAACATGCACGGTCTGCCGTCTGGCACCGTTCTCTCTCGCGACATTAACTTACGTTTTAATTATGTCTAGCACTTGTGCCTTCAAATAATCGGCCCTACAGAGATCGGCAAGTATGAGGATCTTTGCCACGTTCTCAATAGTCAACCGTGTGCCAAGTATTTTCTCGCAGATTACTTTTAAATTTTTTAGTTCATATTTTTCCGCTGCGTATAATAAGTTCGGCATTTTCTCCAACTTCTCCACTTTACCGGTGTAAATAAATTGCAACATTTCTCTCACGGTTTCAAAATCCATGTCTTCGATTTTCACGTTGTTTCGTTTTTCGGTCATCTCGCTTTTGAACATTGCCGAAAAGACGCGACTTTGTGCAGCGAGAATTGCTTTGTGTGCCTTGATCTCTCTTCCATCGACAAGAACTGTTATGTCGCTAAATTCGGAATTTTCGAAAAGCAGTAACCCGACATTATCAAGTTCGCATTTCGATATTTCAAACGGTATCGTTACTGGATCGTTACTGGATGTTACATTATCCATTACGCTGATCTCACAGAATATCGTGAGTTTGTCGTCTGACAGCAGCCCGTTGTCTAGAAGAGAGTCTCTCCTGATGAATTGTTCATAGCCCCAATCTTGACCGCAAATAAATTGATGCATGTTTAGTTTCATTTTTATTATTTCTTCTCTTTTGGCATTGAGAATGGAAAGTTTGCACTTTGCTTTTACAGCCTGCGATTCCCTGCACGAAACGAGCATGAGAAATAACCCCAGGTAGTTTTTGCTCTCTGCTTTAGCAGAGCCCTTAGGATACATTCTTAGGAACCATTTGAGATTTTCGTTGGCCCCTTCTGGAAATATAGAAGACTCCAGTTTCTTTTCTAATTCGCAGCATACACTAAAATTCTCGATTGTCCATTCAAATAATATTTTCTTCATTTGGTAATTCGTGCGACATCTTGTAACAATATTCGACGGGCCGAAGAGGACACTCTGCAGGCATTTGAAGTGAAATAAAAAAATTATGTGCAATACGTTTTCTAAAGTTCTCATAATATATGTCTATTACTTATAATTTTAACAAAGTTGGTGAAAAGTGAATAACTAAAATTGTGTCTTAATCCTGGGTATACACATTAATTGGGGTCTTCGAGACTCCAGATAAAGTTTGAAATTCTACCATTGATAGAATAAATAAATAAAGGAGATAGGACCGTCTGCCTTGTAAAAAAAAAGTTTGAAGTCTCTTCAATAGCTAGCAACTCTGCCAAAGCAATTAATTGTTTGTTGGTTTTGCAACAATTAATACTTAAAATAAGTCTGGGAGCTCTCAAACTCCAGTGTGTATTTCGTGTAACTTTCTTTTACGAGTAATGTAATAATAATTAATAGTATAATGTTAAAGCCAAATAGCGCGCGTGAAGCGGGTGTCTATAATGTCTAGTAATAATTAAACAAATTATGAAAGATTAGAGGGCAAAATTGATGTGTTATAGAAAATAAATTAGTAGTCAATTCTTATTGAATAAATACCGCGCCACGGCATGGTGAACGAGATTGCTACTTGTCGCGGCAAGGTTTGGAAGAGTAATGTAAATTACTCACGGGGGTGACCTCCGACGGTCGGCCAGCGCCAGCGTCCGGCGTCTTCGGCAGAACCCGATGCTCTTCTCTTTTCGACATTTTTCGATTACTACACTAAAAAAAAAAATGTTTTTACTTTTGGTAAATATATTTACTAAAATTAGATTTACTTAATTTAAATTTTAAAAAAGGAATAAAAAAGTGTGCAAATTAGAAACTTGCACATTGCTTCCTCATTACAGATCGCTACCATTGCTTTTATTTTATTTCGCTCACAAAGCTCCTCTTATGAAGAAGCTTGTATTTTATTTTATGCATAATTATTAGTATATTTATTAGTTTGTCTTCCTCATAAAGGAAGCTTTATGAGCGAAATAAAATAGAAGCAATGGTAGCGATCTATAACGATGAGGAAGCAATGTGCAAGTTTCTAATTTGCACACTTTTTTTAATTTTAAATTTAACTTTTTTATGAATTTAAAAAGGGTCAGCTTAGTAGCACAAGTGGAGTTTTACAATTGACGCAATGTCAAATCGATGTTAACTTTGGAAGTTCAGGCTAACATGGTCCATATGGACTTCGCATATGGATCTTTGATCGCGTATAAAGCTGGATCTAATCAACCAAATCTTAAAGAATTATATATGAAATAGGGATAGAAAAGACTGAAAAATGTAATACAATTAGAAATAACCTGACATCTCAAAATTTGCGAAAGTTAGAACTGCCACATTTTTCAAAAAATTCACAATTTTATAAAAAATAAACCCCTTTACCGATCATCGTCAAATTCAATACCAACCTTCCTTTAATAATACTCTATATTAAAAAAAAATTGAGCCGAATATCTTAAAATTTGCGGAAGTTAGAGCAACAACGAGGGGAAAGCTGCGGATGAGAGAACGACTTTTGCAACCGGGATTGATTTGCACCGGGAACTCGTGGTGAATTTCACGGACACTGTCGTGGTTCGAATCGCTCGGGCGTCGGTTGTCTGCCGCAAACGCGTGACGGAGATCTTGCCGAGCATCGACTTGATGCCCTTACGACGAAAATCTTGCGGTCGAACGGAGAAAATCTTGTCCGCGAGGCAGACTACGAGCGCAAACGCGACACGATAACAGTGATCCGAGGCGAGCTCACTTGATGAGCTCGATGGTCACTCTCGTAGAGAATATAAGGTAACCATCTCCGATAGAAAACGATTAAAAACGGCTATATCTGTATATATCGTTTTTAATCGTATCTTATCGGTTCTATCGTTGTGCAGTTAATAAGACATTTACGATAGGATTCCAAGTATTTTGTAACACGTGAGTTTCTGATGGAGTATCGTAAATAATGATTCACTATAACCATATTAAAAACGATAGAAACTGATGTGCAGCTGATAAGACATTTACAATAAGATCCTTAGTATTTTGTAACGTGAATTTCTGATAGATTATATCGTAAATAAACGATTCACTAACTATATTAAAAACGATAAGAAATGTTTTATCGTTTTCTATCGTTGGCGGTTTTCAGGGAAGTCTCTTGACACACAACGCATTTTGCTGAGCATCGGTAAGTAAAGCGTTATGCTTTACGCTTATTTACTTACCGATTGAAATAACTTCAATAGAAATTAATAAATATTTTACTCCGCATTTGCGCACGTGCATCAAATATCTGAATTGATGTACCAACTTCCGTTGGTTTCAATTTTTAAAACTATTTTATGCAAAGAAATGTGTTATATATAGTATTGTGTTATACAATTAACAATTATTAGTATAATTTGTACATACTATATGCGTATATTTGTGAAATTTCAATAAATTTCCTATAAATTGCAAACGTTTGGTATACTTCGTGGTTTACTATGCAATGAACATTAGACACACCTACCAATGATTCGTCGACATAATAAGTACTGTTGTGAGCTTGCCTTCTCCCGTAAGCACAATAAATCGATAAATAATAGTACTCCAGGATGAAAAGTTTAAAACACGATATATATTATTTGTTTTACTCAAGGTATTAAATTAGCGTAATTAAATAATTAAATAAATAATTAAATAATTCTCAATTCTTATCTAGTATTCATATTTAACAAAAATAAATTACGCAAGAAATTGATTAGCTCTAAATCATCGTGATCATCACCGAAACAGTTATTATCGGAAATATTTGCGTGGCTATACGTAGTTCAAGCTGCACCTTTTGTGCACATCGAGACGGCAGTGGACGGATTCTAGCTAAAGCGAGAGTACGTTGACGCCGTCTAAAATTTAAGAACGAGTATTAGCTGAACATTATAAATATACATATTATCATGAATTTATCGGCTAGCTCAAATGTCAATAAGAATTGGCGTAAAACATGAAAAAATGTACCATATGGGAGAATGCTAAATTAAATCGTCTTATCTACAGAGAAAATTGTACATTGCCTATAACTTTTACATGTCAAAAAAATGATTTATCTTTGTATCCACAATATTATTCAATACGCAATTTATTAATAAATTCTGACTTTTTGCTTACATTTTGTTGATCAGTGAGATAGTAAAATGAGAAAAAGTTCTTATCCTTATTAAGGGGATCCTGGAGCCGTATGATTTACCGACATTATCGTTTTTCGATGGATCTTTTAATTGGCTTTACAGAATTGCAAGTTTTTGGTCTAGAATTAAAGTACGCACAAAAATCTAGGGCAGAAAACGCGATTTTATATCAAAAACACCAAAAAATTAAAAATATTACTTATTTGGGCACATACGCAGCTGTCACCTGACGACAATATTTGCTTAAAACAAATATTCTGCAGTTTATACATA